TCTGGGTGTTGCCACATACCAGTGTAAGGACCGTTGCTGAAGCTGCTGGTCTCGACTCCTCTCTGTGTAAGTTTCTTTGCAAGTTTTAAAGCACAAACAGAAACAGAGAGTCCCTTTGGATGCAAAAATTGGAGTCTTAAGTGCTGGAAGTACCCCTTAGTGTTTCATTTTTAATTCTCACCAGTCATAAGAGGCTACCCAAGATGAATGGGATATTAAAAGTAAATACTGTAGGTTTCCAAAGGAGGTAAAAGAAATGGAGCAACACCTAAAATGCCTTATGAATAAAGGCTGAAAGCAAGGGGGGGAGCACAAAACGCAGCCACCTCCTCAGACTGCTGAAGCCTGAGTTGCGTTCCCAGACAGTTAATAGCAGTGGAGGAGCTAAAGCGAATCTGTTTGCCATCATCTTGCGATTTTAATGTCCAGATATTTTTGCCCGGAAGGACAGTTTACACATGTTACCCAGTGCATTAAAGACAGCAGCGACTGTCACCTTTCGGTTCAGAAATGTGCTATCTCAGGGCAGCACCAAGCAGATCCTCGCTGCACCCACAAGAAGGGCACAGGCAGCTGGGGGTGTTTCATCTTGGATTGTATAAACAACGGGGGTTTGGGAGTCTGCAGGTCCCCTCCAAAGTCCAAACCAAATTTCTGCAAAAGGAGGGGTTTAGTGTGGTCGATTCTAAAATTCCAGCTCACCCGGCAGCGTTTTGGGATCCCCACGGGCGCGGAATGGAATGAAGCGGCGTTCTGGGAGGATGTTCTCGATGGCCAGAGGTTTGACGTGCAGTGAGAGACCACCAGTTCCTAGAGCAGGTCTTTGGCATAAAGGTTTTGAGTTATATTGATATTTGTCGGTTACTGTGACTTCTTTTTTTTTTTTTTTCCCCCCCTTCAATTGCATCATACCCTTAAAAAAATGGTGGTAAGTGTGAGATCTGCATGCTTTGGAGTTTGTTTAATCTCCGCTTCAGTCTATACAACGCACAAGTCATAACGTTAACACTTTTTCTTAAAAACTTCTTCATTCACATTCACAAACTAATTTGGATTTCAGTTTGCTGTTTTTTTAATCTTTTATTTAGTCTAATTTTGTACTTTTTTTTTTCTGTTGTTCTGTTGCCCCCTGATTTCACTCAGGTTTCAGTCTTTGTCTGTACTGTACTGGGGATGCTTTTCCAGCAGTTAAGTGGCTGACCAGGATAGGAACGCACAGAGAAGTGTTTTTTCTTATTTTATCACAGTTTAGGTTCTAGATGGGAAAGGGCCGAGTGGTGGTGATCCACCATATAATCTTAAATATTCTAATAGGCATTTTTGTTGGATCTTTGGTTAAATGTGAAGCTTTATAAGTGTGAAGCTTTTTTTTTTAAAAAAAAAAAACCACAAACTCCTTATCTGCAATAGGCATCTAAATATTGTAACGGAGAAGGAAAAACTGTTATTTTATAGCAAGAGGGAGCTTGTATCTTAACGGTGCAGTTTATTTCTGAAGTCCAGCAAAACAAACTCTCAAAGATGTCTATGATGCTTGTTAGAAAGCCGAGATAACCGAGTCCTAAAGCTGAAGTAGGAATCCTGACGTGGGGAAGAGGGGAGCAAAGGGCTCGCTGGCTATCCCGGGCTCTTCACACGCGGGGTGCGGAGCGCAGCCTGCTTTTAAGATCTTTTGTGAATCAAAAGATGCTCGTGGAGGGAAGTTGTAGATTTACTCTACCGTGCTTTGTGTTCCAGTACCCGATGTGTCTCTGTATATCTCTGCTGTATATACAACAGCACATTGATGTCTGGTTGTCCTGACTAGTCCTAGTTCTCTCTGTACCCTGTCCGATAGTGTGCTGTTGCTGGTAATGGACTCCTGTGGACACCGGTGTGTCGCTAGTCTGTTCCTTTTTGGCTGTAAGAGCTCTTGGTTTGTGGTTAGCTCTTTATTTTTTTGAAATATTTTCCTTTTTTTTTTGTTATTTTTTTATGTTCCGGTCACTGTCTGTGCTAGCGGTGGCTTTGCCTATCCGTTGCCTTGAAGGTCCAGGTGGAGTAATGTCCCCGCTGCCCGACATTACTCCCAGCGTGTGCTCATGCGGATGCCCACACCGTTGAGACTGTAATTTCCATAACTGCTTCATGTGCACTAAGCACCCTTGTGGAATCCTGCTGAGAGTTTCCTAAAGACTTCAGTGAAAAATCCCTCCACCACAAGGTGGGAACAGCAGCTCTTGTGTGCCAAAAACAGCAGGTCCTGAATTGGTTCACCCAAAATACTTCGACAGGAGCGTTAACTTTCTGGATTGATTTATTTTTTTGTACTGCTGTTTAAACACGCTTCTGTCTTCTGCACTGCAGCGTGGGAGCAAAATAAGGCGGTTTATCATTTAAAAAAAAAAATCAATTGGTAATGAAAGAGCTAAAGCAAAACATTGCTCATTGGCTGATGTTTTCCCAATTTTTAGAATAGTTTTGCCAAGAGACACAGGCAGAACAATGCTGTCAGTCTTCTGTAGCTGAAGTCTGTTGTGTCTGGAGGTACCGCAGCACCGGAACTTTCCCCGGTGTTCCTGAGCCCTGTGCTCTATCGGGCCACGCACCATGCCTGCCGCTCTCCAAGGACTGCGGCGTTGGGATGCTTGAATCGAGTATTGCACCTTCAACCTCCTCCTAACCTGGCCTGTTCCAATCAGACAGTGAGAAAAATGTGATTTGTCGAGGTTGTATCATCCACGGGGGAAGATGAGCATGTGGTGTCTGTACCCTGGCATGTACGTACCAGGAGTTACCAGCCAGCTAAAAAAAAAAACAATGCAAGAAAACAACCAGCAGGATTTTACAACTGAAACGTTGGTTTGTCTTCTCATCTATTTTTTATGAGATTGAACCACTGGAACTTGGGGACAAGATGAGGCTGACAATATTGCAACAGTCTGTCCGCTACAGTTGCAGTTCTTCATGACAAAGCATCCCAAGTGTTAACTAAAACCATCGAAGCAACATACCTGCCATTAAAACTTGAGTTCAGAACAATAACTCCATGAACCTTTGCACTCCCGAGTGGAATGGCCTCTAATGCTGTAGATAGATCGGTTTGCTGTTTGCAGGTCAGCCACTGGCACGCTGCAAAAACTGACTTTTTCTTTTTTTTTTTTCCTCTTTTCCCTTCCTTGTCTTTCCCTGGATCATGTCGGAATTCTTGCTGCAGATGATGAACCAGCTGGGCCAATGTAAGTGCATTTTAAGAAAAAAATATTTCTGAATGTACAGAGACATCGTTTTCTTATGTGTGTGATCGATTTTTGTGCATTTTTTTATTGATTTTCTTTCTCCAGGAAAACCAATTCTACAAACAATCACAAAGATAAAAACTTACGCCAGAGAAACACAAATTAAAAATGCTTATCATGTAAGTATGACTCGCACGCATCTCGGAAATGGTCAGGCTTAAAGTCCTCCTCTTTCCATAGTGGTTGGGGTGCAGAAACTCATTCCACGTATTATAAATTTCCCAGCTGCTCAAAGGATGGCACTAGCCCCATTTCAAAGAGCGCTGGGCGCTATCGAAAGATTTATTTCATAAAATACACAGGTAGTTGAATGAGCCAGTCAGCTGTTGAACTTTACATAGCCCCTGCTATTGCTAATAAAAAATAAACCCCAAACCCTTCCTCGTTCAGTCTTAAACCTGGAAGCCAACCTCGGTTGGGAAGCCTTTATCTTCATTTAAGAGCGAAGCGGGTGTTACGCGCTTTGATTTGCACGCTGTTATGGCACATGATGTTGAAAATGCTGCCGGGCATTGACTAGCACCTTTTCTCGTTTCTTTTTTTAGAGCTTTAAGTTTCTGAGAGACTGATGGCAATATGACCTGCTAAATTTAAGGGTTGGAACTCTTGGTTCTAGAACTCCAGTTCTGTCTGATTTCTTTTTTTTTTTTTTTTTCTCCTTTTCAAGTGAGCAACAATATGACTGTCTAAAGCATGCCTTATTTAGCCTCTCCTGTAAGGATGACCTAGCCAGATAAATTTTAATAATGCTTCAGTGTAGAAGGTGTAAACTATTTTGGGCTTGATGTGCTGTGAATGTTGCTTTTTTAATTTTTTTTTTCCTTAATATATTTAAATAAGTAGTAAGTCGGCTCCCGCATGCGCCATTTTTTACTTCCTGTAGCTGTTCAAATTGGCAAAGCTCTAAATCGCACCGCTGCCATCTAGTGATACTTTTTGTAAAGTACAGCAAAACTTAAAAATATTATATACAGTATATATTTATATTTTGGGGAGGGGGGGAACCAAAATACAGTAATTGTGTTTGATTTTTAAGCTGCTGATATTCATTCCTTACTGTATGTCTGAAAGATGAGAGAATTACACTGTTCTGGTACTTAAGAGAAGTAATATAAATTGAAATTATCTTAAGGGCTTAACCTATCTAGAGAGACGTGGGTGTCCTGTAATCAGACTTCAAAAGCTGGAATGGTTCAATGTGGTGGTGGAATGCAGTTGAAAACAAAAACAAAACTTCAGTTTATAAATATATATATATGATTGCTTTTTAAGTGATTTTTTTTTTGTTTACTCATGTAAATTCTCAAATCCTTTTGCACTGATGTGTTCAACATATTCTTGTACATTCAATTCAGGCAAACTTTTATAATTTTCTTTTTTTTTTTTTGTTTAAATGATGAAATGTTACAGCATGGTGATATTCTATGCAACTAGTTATACTCTTTAGTTTGACACTGTAATTTCTCATGATTTAAAGATTGTAGAAATAGACCTAACAGGGTTCTCATGATGTGCATAACTGTAGATGCATGAACTTGTGTTCTGTGTATTTGTTGAAGTGCAATGATGTATAAAAAGTGGATTCACCTGTTTTTAAAAATAAAACACTGACCAAAAAAACCCCGTGAGACTTTCTCAAGTATTTAATCACACTTAAGCTTGTGTATCGCAAGCACTGGGTATCCCGGAGTGTCCATTCCAGTGGTAATAAGTTGATATTTCTCAACCTTCTGTGAGTTTTTTCAATTCCTTCTCCACTTCTTCCACAAAAGCTGGGAAATTCTGATCCATGAGACACAAGCGAATGAAGGGCCCCAGCTCTTGCGCGCGCCACACTGAATGCCGGTACACAAGAGGGAGCTCAGACTTCTTTTTCAGCACAGACTGCAAAAGGAAGGAAAAAAAACAACAGGGGTTGCACTGATCTTGCAAGTAAAAGGTAACATCATATGGGTTTTGTAACAATGCTGCTATGGCAAAGTTCTCCTTTGGTTTTGAATAAAGATGCTTCTGCCTTGTTGTGGATAACCACGTGGGCAGTTCTAAGCTCTTAATTTAGCAAGGTGTCTTTCAGAAGTAAATTATGGGGCTTTTTAAGAGTTAAAACCTCCTTTTGGTGCCCATTTAGCCCCCTCCCCCAGCTTTTTCCCTTGACGGTGGGCAAACTACGGTTGCTTTTCAGGATCAAACTGTCAGCAGCAGAGTGGAAGATGTCCAGCATCGCAGCCCCGCCCGCCCCCCAGCACCCATAGGCGATGCCGCTCTCAGCCATTAGCTGCAGCAGTCTAACAGACCGGTAGGTTAGTGGGCAGCTCCCGAGTGCTTTCTGCGCTGCTGTTCCTCTTACAACAATCTGAAGCAGCTCTGCTAACGCTTTACTGGGGCGGGCTGCCAGCCTTCCTGCTGGATGGGAGCCACCGTAAAGACATGGTCACTGCACCGTTCAACGGCCCTGCTGCAGCCAGGGCAGCTGCTGGTTGTGATAGGATGTGTTAATAACCGAGTGTTTGTGCCGAAATATTTCCATCGTTGTGGTCGGTAGAGCTCACCACCTTTAGCTGAAGTCATTAAAGCTGCAGCATGAGTTACAGATGCGTGGCAGTAAGCAGAGACAGTGACCGCAGTGCTACGATCACAGTGAGGTAAGTGATGTGTGGAGGCAGCTGGTGATCCAGGAGAATGGTCTTGTTACTGGGAGAAACGCCCAGCGCTAGTTAGTGCAGGACAACTGGCACACTGACAGCTGGAGCTGTGTTTGACTTGTGGGGAGGAAAAAAACCAGCCCTCAATATTTTTGCTAATCTTATTGTTGGTTCACATCGCACTATTGCTCTTTGCCTGGCAGAGAAAAATACCTTTAGAGATTGTTGACTATCTTTTTAAAAAAAAAACCTGCAAGGGAATGCTTAAACTCAAAGCTTCTGCTAGCCTCCTGAAGTGGTGGAAATGGAGAAATGTAAATCCCCAGTGTTGCAGAGCACCAGCTGTGAAAGGGTCTGTGTTTCAGAAGTTCAAGTGGGGAAAAGAAATTCAGGCCTGAATTTTACAGCAAACCTGTGGGCCGGGGAGATCCCCACTCAGAGCACAGCTGTGTTAAGAGAAGACGTAGAGGAAGATGTAGGAAACTACTAGAGCAAGGAGTCTCTGTGCTGGGGAATTTGTTAGTAATTCAAGCGAGAGATGGATCCACGTGTACAGCAACGACAGGCCTCGCTAGCAGAAAGCTTTGTTTGAAGCAGGTACTGTGCACTCCTCTTGTGCAGCATCCTCAGAAAAGCAGTTTTTAGAAGGTAAGTTGTTCTTCTACCATGTCAGACTTGGGCTATGACTACAGAAGTCATTTCTGCAGTTGAGTGACAAAGCCATTTATTTGGATATGACCTCTGGGCATTTATTTGCTCTGGTGCGGTGGTTTGTTCTTATGCAAATGGAGTAATTACACCCTGAAATACCTGCGTTGGCAGCTTATTTCCCAGCTTCAGATCATTACCCGAGATGCTGTGTTTTTGTTGGTATAGATGACGTTCAGTAAAGCCGTTTCCCAGATGTTTATAGGATATGAGATGGCTTGCTCACTCTCCGTGCCCCAGAGATTCCATTACAGGATCTAAATAGTAGATATTTTTTGTTACCTGTGCTAGCTGCGCTACAGATCTTCTTTCTCCGAAGCAGGAATCTGGTAGAGGCTCATCTGCCTGGAAAACACCAAATGCAAATACAGGCTCGTTACCAAGCAGAGTGTGGGCATGTGCAAGAAGGGGACGCAGCTCCACTTTTAGAGAGCCCGGGAAGAGAATGTGCTTGGCTACCTTAAGCAGTGAAAAGGCAGCTTTTTATGGAACCTGAATGCACATCTGCTCGAGTCTTGAAAAATGAAACACATGAAATAATGGGCCTGTAGTTAAACTGTCACATCTAAGCCAAGATAACTTGACCTACTGGAAGGAACTTTTAAAAGCTGCTGTGTATGAATGCTCACCAGGAGCGTGGTTTTTTCCCTTCCCGTGGGTCACATCACAGAAAAGATGGTTTAAGTTGTCAGTTCTATTTTCTGAGCGAGGTTTTCAGTCTTAACTTCTGGAGCAAGAGCATTATTAATACCAACAGCATGACTGATGGTGTTCAATAGCATTCTGCCATGAAATACTTTCTTTACCTTTTCATTCTTTGCTTTATATCAGGAAGTGAGCAAAGCCCAAGCATAGGTAATCTGCTTAAAGAACAAACAATAAATCTTGAGTATCAGCTGTTGAAGGTCTCCCATGTGCCTTCCTGGAAATGGTGTGAGTCAATTTAGCAATATATTTATTTTTCTCTGCACTTTCTCTACCAAATATGATTCCACTGTCCAGTAGAGGAGGACCTCCCTGGATTGTATCATTAAAATGACATAGCTGAAAGCTTTGACTTTCTTTTTTTGGGCCTCAGTCTTGGTCCCAATATTTTTTTCACATACCCAGAGCTATCCTGGCTAAGCTAGCTGCAGGGATGTGGGTTTTAGAGCTCCTAAGTGTGATCCTCTGGATACCCAAGAGAGCATTTATTTAAGAATTAGTCACCCTCAGAAACACTATCTGCCTTTGCCATTTAGTGTGGGTCTTTGCCTTGGAGGTCTGTGTTGTCTTCCTACCCTGAAGTGGCTTTTAAATGTGTCAGGTTAAGCTCAAATGGATACAATTGCAGATTTGCAGTTATTAACACTGTAAAACAGGAGCAGGTAAACACAAAAAGGAGAACACCATTTGTGGTATTAATTAGCTCTGATCATTTTTCTTACTCTGTGTAATTTATTTGAAAGTCTGCCAGGTGGTTCCCAGCAGTCTTTGCTGAAAAATCACACAAATGAAATTGCTGACTTTTTTTTTTTCTCTTCTTTTTTGGTAACTATTCAGCCCTCATCTTCTGCTCCCTATTCTTTTTTATTAACCTCAGCAGAAAGCATCTCAAGTCTGCCACCAAACCATGCCACCATCTGATTGGGAATTAGTAAATAACGCTTGGCTGTAGCCTCTGCAGCCGTTTCTTTTAACAGGTAGTAACTGCCTACGTGTGCCTGAGCCCTGCATGAATTGTTCTCTTCATTTCCAGGCTCCCTAGCTAAGGAAAAGTTCAAACCTCAGAACAGAGCTTTCTTCCGCACCTATAAATCCTCATTCCATTATGTTCTTCCTATGCTCATGTGAAATGTGTCTGTTAATTTCAGTTGTTAGTGGCCTCTTGGAGGTCAGAACAAAGGCACCTGATTGCTCTGAGATACGTTACAGAAAGCCTGAGCAGCTAGACCCACTTTCTTGAGCATTGTTCTGTTAATTTTTTGGAGGTACGGTAAGAGAACGGACAGATGATAGCCAGCTTCAGCAGCTGACTTCCTGAGTAACACCAGCCCTGCTCACTGACTGGGTTTCCCTGCATGTAAACTGAATTTGGGGTTTCCCAAATCCCGTTTCATATAGATGGCCTCATAGTTGCAAGAAGCTTTCTTCAGAAGGAAAATTTGTCATTTACAGATCTAACACTAATAGTGGATTATTTTTTCTATTTTTCTGCTCTTGCTTACTTACTGTATATAGTACTGATGCGTCTTGATTTTCACCACTAGCCAGCTGCCCGAGGCTGTGGTAGAGCTGCTGGCTTTGTTCGTCAGTTGCCTGAACTGGTAGGTACTCTGCAAGTTTCTGAACACAACTGCAGCAGTGTTCCAGCATCTGTTCTTTTGATTCTCCACCAAACTGAATGCGAAACATGCGGCATTCATTCTGCTCAAAAAGCAAAGAGAAATTAAACTGTGAATCCCCTCCAACTATTTTGATTTAATTAAATTCTTATTTGTTAAAGTTAGGAAGAAGGCAATTAATTTTTGGATCACTGCACCAACTTAAACTTAAGTTTTCCCTGCTGGAACTTAATTTTTCCCAGCAGCTAAACCAGAAGACTGATTCCCAGTTAAAAAAAGCCCAAGAAAACAGCAAGTGAGCAGAGCCACTTCTGAACTAATTAAAAGTCTAGCCAAGTGAACAAACCTTGCTATGACAACGGAGTTTATACAGGTATAACAGGGAAATGTTGCTGCAAGTAGTATCCTGTAAGGATATGCCAGGTCTGAACAGTTATGTGTGTCACAAAAAAATGAAATGACACTAAGGGAAGCGGAAGTTAACTTTGGAATCTAAACTAAAAGTATTTATGTTCCCACCTGCACCAAAGCCAGCCTTACAGCCCTACCTGCTGTGTCTGTACGTAGCTAACCACTGAAATGCAGTTTGGCACTGCAGCTGAACGCTGCTTGATGCTCACACAGTTCATTAGGAGTGCAAGAAACTCAAATGCATTCCTTTAGTGAAATAATACTAAAAAAAGCCTGGATAGAACTGACCCCCAGTATAGGCTGTACCACAATAGATACTCTTTTGAGTAGGTGAGGTCCAGTAAACTGCACTGAAAATGGAGGACCAAAGAGCCTGATCGGCTTGTCCTCAGCAATTTAGCTAATGTTAAAGCCGATACACATTGAATGCTCTTGTTTAGGGAGTGAACTAATGGGACTTTCAGTTTAATCTTGACATTTCAAATTTAAAGCACAGTTAAAGTACTAGAAAAGGAGCAAGTTTTCCTTGGATGGACCTAGTTTGAGTCCTCATTTTTCTGAGATATCAATGTCAAAGGCTCTTTTTTTCTGATGACTAGCCATGCTGCTAGACTGCTGGTTGCACTAATACAAGGACACCTTTCACTTTAAAGATTTTGGTCTCAGAGATGAGTCAGCTCTTCATGACAGCCTGTATGTTCACATGCATGTTATTTTAAGATGCTTGTATTGCATAAAATGATTTATAGGGCACTACAAGCATAAATGCTTGTCTCAGTGCCTTTTAAAGGAAAAAGTGTCAATTCAAACTGTACCACTCATTTTACCAGTGCCTAGTTAAGTTTCCTCTAATTAATTAAGATGTCAACTTAACTGGGTCAGCTCTAGTTAAGTTTCCTCTAATTAAGATGTCAACTTAACTGGGTCAGCCTCACATAATCAAGAACTGATTTCTGGATGTGCCAGACAGGTGAGTTCTCATTAAAATGACAGAAAGGTAACTTGCATCTTAATTTGAATTCCTTTGAGAGACTTTCAAAGAAAGTCATAGTTACCCCTATGCTCCCTACATCCATTTTCAGTCTGAGCTATGTGTATTGCCCTCTGCTTTTCCACAAGGAATGTTAAATAATTAAGACGACAGTTTATAAACAACAGACTTTGTAAATTAAACATTTTTCCTTTAAGGAAACAGTTTCAGAATTAAGACACTTGTACTCTTCCTGAATAATATTTCCAGTAATACAGCTGAGTTTCATGGATTATTCTGTAATTGCAAAGCAGGTAAAATGCAGCAAAAAAATAAAAAGAGGAACTGTAGGAAAGAAAGAAAATAACTGAAACCAGTAAAATAATAAAATAAGACTGGGAACAAGGAGCACAAAGTAAATCAGAAATGATAGTGTAATATTTAGTTGTGCATGCCCCTTAGTTGCCCTGTGCACTCAGGTCTAGGAGCCGGTTTTTGAAAACCTATCTTGCTTTCCTCTTCTGGGCTCTTTCCTTACTTAGGTCTACCAGGGTTGAGACAGAACCCCTTATATGGCTGGCTTCCTGTTTGGTTTTTTTTAATATTTTTGAAGATTAGCACAGATTATATACTGACAGCATTTAAGAGATCACTTCAGCTACAATTTCAGATATACAGTAGAGAAACTGTATGACAGGACCACTGCAGTACCACTAAATCCAGTTTAAGGCATGTGAATTTATGGTAAGTAAACCTGTAGATGCACTGAATTAATTTTACGACTGTTAATATTCCTCCTTTTCTGAACTGTCCCTCAGACCTTTGTTCAAGCCTCAAAGTGATTGTGACGGTGATTTTATGTTTCTTGTGAGATGCAGCAGAATCCCTTAACGCTGTGCTGGGAAACAGGTTCTATTAACTGTAAACTGGTGATGTCCTGATTCATCAGAACTAATTACTGCAACAGCTTGATAGGCTTCTTCAGGGATACTCCACGTTTTATAAGAATTTGACAAAAATCAGAGAGCAAAGATGTTCTGAGTTCAGGCAAGCATAACCCATGAATTTAAAACAGTTTAAGATACTTATTTAGGCAGTTCCTAGTGCCACCAGCCTAGGCTTATTCTGAAATAAGTCCTTATATTTAAACAATGTTTATTATGCCTCACATCTGCTTTTATCTTGCAATTAGAAAGGCATTCCACCCCTCTGCAAACTATATTGTTTGGTTTGTAACATCCTATAAAGAAATATTTATGCATCTTTCATAAAATAAACCAGATATAAACCCAAATTACAACTAAAGTGGAATTTTTACAGTTTTCAGCTCTTCTGGATATTGCTGTTCTCTGTAATTAAAATAGCCCAGTCTGCACCAGAGTGCCAGTCAGGGGAGAATGCCACAGCAACTCCGAATACTTGAGATGTTTTTATGCCTTAATAGTTCTGTGAATGGGGCAGAGAGTTAAAACTGGTCTCTAGCACCTACTGAACAAGGGGCTCATCATCTTTTTGCAACTCCTGTTTTGAACTTAGAGATGAATTCTCTTGTCAAGTAGAGATAGTTAAACTAGAGGCAGCTGTTTCTGCTGAAACAACAAAGCCTAGAAAGTATCAGGAGACTGGAGAGGTCATCTTATTTTGAAACAGGCTTTGTTTCTGAAAAACCTGGTGAGTGCTCAGTGTGGATGAATAAGAGACTTCTCAAGAGTTCATCTACGAACCGAGAAAACTGAGATTTATACATAAATTGGTAACAAGTAAGTACGGTTTAATGACTTAAAGGCTAACCAACCACTTTCATGAAATCTGAGAGGAAGACCAGAAGCCGAGGTCCCTTTCATTGCCTTGAACACCAAATACCTGAATCACTAGCCTGCCACTACTGTGCCATGTGTCAGGGGCCAGAAAATGGCTAAATAATTGTTTATCTGGAGACTTTGCCAAAGTGAAAGTACGATTCATAGGTAGCAGACTTCTGTACATGCAAGAGAGTTGCTTCATCTTCTTAATTGTTAGCAGTGGCAGATAGATTCTAAAATAAATACTAGTCTAGCTGTTCTGGTAGCTAACTCCCAGAAAGCAGTCTAAAAGACCTGAATATTAGCAATTACAAAAGATATTAAGATGATTCAATCCATTCTTGTTTAATATCTAGCATTAAAAAAAATCTTTTAATTTATATAGACAATTTACAGTGTTCTAACTACTGGTTTAATTTATCCAATATTAAGAAATCTCATACAGAACTGTTAACTGTTAGAAATATTAAAAGCAACTTACCTTTGACTGTGCACAAAGCAGCAGGCAGTCTGCTTTTCTTACGATCTTTAACCACTTGTGGGAATCAATTAATGAAAAGCCTTCCTGAAATAAAGCAGAACACAAACTAGTTGCACAGAAACATGCAACGCTCAGAAGTATACACTGAAGTTATGTGATCTAATTTAACCCCTAATGAAGATTACTCATCTGCACACATCCCATTTTTGTAACTGCTGGTATGTCATGTTTACCACACGAAGAATTAAATCTGAATCCGTAGGTCTGGTAGTAACACTATCTGGAAATTAGAATGTACCTTGACATATATTTTACATTTATTTTTGTGCATGTTATGAAAGTTTCATGAAATGCATAATAAACGGCTGCAAAAGAGAGCTTTAAGTTCTTCCACATCCTGTGAAGTTGCCCGAGAGGGCAGCAGAGGGCAGGCAAACCCGAAGAATGGGACAGCAGTTGGGTTCATCTAGGGCCCAGAGAGGCATTTTCTCCAGATGGAATTCAGGTAAACAAGAAGCAGCTTTGATAACTTGATAAAGATGTTTTGATTCTCCAGCTGCATTAACTGTCAGTCTCTTCAAACAAGATGGACTGCTCAGCATTCTGTGAAAACACCGCAGGAAGCTGAAAACATCATCTAAACATTGCAAGGCAATGGCCTGTGTCTCCCAAGGTACTTCCCACAGACTGTCTCGGAGTCATTACTTAGCAAAGTCTAGAGGGGGAAACAACAAAAAAAAAAAAAAAAAACAAAAAAAACCAAAACAAAAAAAAATTTAAGGGCAGGGAAGAAATTACCGACCTGTTCTTTGTGAACTCATAATGCTTTCTATGACTACGGATTTTTGCAGAGGCTGTCCTAAGGGTCAGGAACCCCAAATCTTGTCCATCCTGGATAGCCAGCAGTGTGTTTTTGCTGGAGTTACTGTCCATCTTCCGCAGGTCTAGGCTGGGAAACCATCTGCCATTCTATTTGGTGCAAGAAGTCACCTCGGTAAGACACTGCTCATTTAAGGTGCTGGCACTGGCTTTATAATCTCATGCAGCACTTGCATGTAGATTTTTAACGGAACTTTTACGAGAGGAACGGCTAGCGAGCGTTGAAGAGTTGATCGGGATCACAGACACATGATCATCAGTCACCTGATGATAGAGGCCATAAAGGTAAGACAGCACGCAAGTATTGTTCCCAAAACAGTTGGGGTCAGAAGGAGAAAATAATTTCCCTCTATGCTGTAAAACCAGAAGCTGACAGCAAGTAAGATGGGCCAGTCACTTGCAGCATGTCTCAGCACTCAAAATGCAGCAGGTACAACTTGCCTAGGTGTGAAAGGCCCCAAGAATAGGAAAACCTCACACTGTGACCACAGGGAAGTACTGAGCTACCTTCTGCTCTTGCAGGGATTAGTAAAGGAATCTGGTTCCTTAGAGGGACAAACTGCAAATACTGGCCCTCGCAGGAGAAAAGGGCATCTTTCTCGGTAAGTCAGTGAAATAGAAGAGAGTTTCTGAATGTCACTTTGTCATGTAGTCTGAAGTTATGCCTGACACAGTAAGGAAGCCTGTGGAATAGCCTCGCTCCTCTGTGCACCTGCCATTTTAGCACCTTCAGTGTTTGGGTGTGTGATTTTAGTCTTTAATAGACCTGCCAGACAAGAGCTTGGTATGTGGACACTGAAGCCGGGGGAAAGAGGGGACACAGAGAATATACTGAGCAGAATGCCAGTACGAGATGAGTAGGCTAAGAAAAGAACGCAGCACTGTTAGAACATTTCTAGAATAATCAGTAGCACTTCACATGTTGTATTTTCAAACGCACAGAAGAGTGCATTACTTTGAAATTTGGCCACAGCCATCCATAGCTGTGCAGCGTTTGGCCCCAAAATATTGTTTAATGCTGAAAGTGGAAAAGCATCAGCAAGTTCAGTTGGTGATTGTGCACAGCAGAAAGTTACATCAAAAGTCAAGAATTTTAGTCATGCCAGCACCATGGAAATAAGAGTGCAGCAGTTGCCACAGCAAAAATTGGCATTAATTGTGCACGTGAACTGCAGGGAGGTCTTAGTACATGGCTGTACAAAATACAAAAATGCAGATTCGTTTTGTGTACATGAGAAGTACTTCAGAGGAGACGTGGAGTGACATCCATCTACAATGTGTACTGTGCTGTGCTTGTGCTGCCAGAGTTGCTAGAAGGGCTCTACTAAGGAAGCAGGCAAAGAAAAGAGAATTGAAGTCAGAGGACTAAGGTATGGCCAACAGTGCATTCAAGGAGGGAACAACTGGTTGCAGAAAACATACATAGTGCAGAGGAGTTTGGGGCAGGGAACAGGCTCTCAACTCAGAACAGAGAGAAAGATGGGGTATGAAGAATGGGAATACATAAAGCAGAAAAAATATCCTAAACTGTCCCTTTTAGAAAGGCTGTGTTCTTGATATTTATACAAATAATCTGAAAAGTACATGTTCTACTTGGAATGTAGACTAAGTGCATTTATGTTTATTTTTGTGAAAGAAATATAAACATAAGGGGAATTTCATCTCAGCACAAGGACTTACTTCTCTCATTTAAAGCTGTAAATATTGAACATCTTTTGAGGGGAATATCCATACTTTCTCAGAACACATGGGCCAATTTAGAACTTCTCACTCTAGATAAGCAGCCAGGCTGAGTCCTGGACAATCAAGCAGCCTAGGAAATGATTTGTGTTGAAGTATGACTGCTGCTTGTGCTTACTGCTTCCTGCCATAGGGAATTTCTCCACTGCCGCTTGGTCTTCTTCCAATTCCACTACCAAACCCCAAAATGCTGTTAGAGTGAAGCAATTCCAATATCCTGTTCTTTCACTAGGCCACTTTAGCTTGTGGCCACTTGTGCTTACTCTGTTCATTTCAAATACTTACTGGTTTTGATACACATCAACTGTGTTTATTTAAATATAGCTGTTCCCATATTAAGTCTATTTTTACAGTGTTTTTCCTTTCACTGTAAGATGTAGGTTGAACAAATGTTGTCTGCTTAAAATAATAACTGTTTTCAAAGAAATCAGAAAAGGCAGCCAGTGTTTAACTTTCCTACCAACTATTTTATTGACGGTTCCCAGGTTGTCATCCTTTTTATATGTCCTGTTTCTGAGGTAAAGAGTGCTGGAAAACAGCATTTGGAATTTTTATTTATGTGCTCCTAATTATTCAGTTCCAACCCCCAAATTTAATTAACTGAAATTTAATTTACTTCAAGTTTAATTAACCGAAGAACAAAGCAGAAAGTATCACCTTTCTTCTTGCACCTTTGGTTGATTGTATATTGCCAAGCAGAAACAAATACCTAAGAATAGCTAAACCAAACAGAAAAACTCAATGCGGTACTTGAGCGGTACAACAGACCTGATTTGGCACAAGCAAGGCACCTGAAAAAGGAAAAGGGAATGTTTTAGACAAACTCGGGTCTGCAGAACTCCTCAGACTGAACTCAACCATTAAATTGTTTACATCAGGAATTGTCATTACAGTCAGGATTCTCTAGATTTTCCTCAGTTCTAAGCAGCAAATAAGCATGATTTTGCACCATGTTAAGGAATATTCTTTTCCTTGTGGCTTTTCCAGGTTACCTCAGTCAGTACAGACTGCATTTGAGGCTGCCTGAATTAAGACAAAGAAAGATTCTTCTTAATGATGATAATGCTCTCTTTTGTCAGAATGAAACTGCATATTAAGTTAGGTATATTAATTCAGAGCAAAAGAAGGAAAATCACAATAAATCTGCCCCTTGTTCCATTGCTCAAAGTCAAGAGGATCTCTGCCAACATCCAGGAGCTAGGCATGGGGTAGATCCTGGGAACTCCAGGGCAATCTATTGAGATTATAGTCCATTTGTCTTTCTAGAGATAATGAATTTAATCTGCTCTGGACACATGCACTGACAAAGAAAAAAAGTAGTAGTCCCTCCAGATTGCTTCTGCCACTGTGCTGACAGAAACACAGAGAACAAAGCAGCTGTGGTCACTGTTCCCCTTGAGCAGGCAACATGTATAGCTGCTTTACATTCAGAGCTGGGCATTGCTGAGCAGTACTGGGCATGAGCAGAGACAGCCGGCAGTATAAGATTAATCAGGCATATAGACATAAACGCAACCTAGAACTGGGCAGGAACATAAGACCTCAAATGTTTACAAACTGAAGAGATGAGCAGTGGAGCTTTTCTAAGTTTGATCGTTAATGTTCAATCGTGCATATACTCCTTATGTCATTTTCCAGGATCCTACTTGTAAGAACACTGTATTAAAGGAAAACACTTCCATACATCTCTGACAAAAATCTAAATCTCTTGGAGGGAGGACCCCGAGAGGAATTAAGCTGAAGCAGAAAACAAAGCGAGACGTGTCCCAATTATTTTGGAAGCAGGCAAGATGTGACCACACCTTACATGAGGCAGAGAAGCCAATAATGCTGGTCCAGCCTTACAGCCATCTAGTCCATCATTCATTGGGAAATACTTTTGTTCTGATTTTACATTTCAGCATTCAGAAAGCTGCTGGATAAGGAGGCCTGTGATCAATGCTGGAAGGTATTGCATGTTATTTAAGACTATTTTTATTATTATATAATCTAGAAACCCTCTGCTGCTAAGCAACATAGGAACAGATTATCCTTTTTGTTAGATTGCAAGGCTTTTAGGCAACCCTGTCTGAACTAAAAATTAATATATATTTAAGAAATGTTATTTGTGTAACAGTTCAGCTATGCTGGCTTGCATCAATTAGTTTGGATTCACTCATTCATGAGACAGATGTTTTCAAATAAAACTGAACTACATGTAAACAATAGCTTAGGAAGAAAAACTTTCTTTTTGACACAAATATTATATACTCCTCCCTTAAATTACAACCAATATTAAAAAAGACAAAATCCCAGAATGCCACACAGTCACATTCTCCAGTTTTGGCTACTACTTATAATAGGCTCGTGAAATGCAAATAAACCAGTTTCTTCTCGAAGTTCACAGTTCAGAATGAATGTATGCATTGTATAACTTAAGGAATCTGCTGGGTATCGCACAGATGGGAATGTGCATGCATAAAAAA